CCCCATTGATAATTTTAAGAGCAGCTTTATCAACAGCTGCTGCGGGACTACAGAGAAGGTCCAAGTCGACAGCATCGACGAGCTCCTCGCCGTGTGCCTCGAGTGGCTGCGCCAGGGTGTGCCCGCAGAGCAGGCCCACCGCATCGTAGGTAGGACCTGGGACCTCAAGAGTGCCTACAAGCAGCTTGCAGTGCAGGCTGCACACAAGAAATTTGCGTGCATCGTCATGGTGGACCCACAGAGTGGGAAGGTTAAAATCGCCCACCTACACAGCATGCCTTTCGGCGCAGTGGCCGCCGTGCACGCCTTCCTCCGCTGCAGCGAAGCGCTGAAAGCCATCGGCCGCGAGAAGCTTGCTTTGGTAATGACGAGCTTCTTCGATGACTTCACAGTTCTTACGCGCAGCGCGCACTCGAAGCTCGTCACTTTGGCAGTGTCCAATCTTTTTAACAAGCTGGGCTGGCAAGTGGCCACAGAGCCCAAGAAGAACGCCGACTTCAGCGAAGTCTTCGACGTGCTAGGCGTGCGAGTCGACTTGTCTAAGCAGCACCTTGGAGAAATCTCCGTCAGCAACAAGCCGACGCGGGCAGCAGAGCTGGGGATGGTCCTCAGCGAGGCCCTCGCCCGCGGCAGCATGTCCCCCCTGGAAGCGCAGAGCCTGCGCGGCAGGCTCATCTTCGCTGAGCAGCAAGCCTGGGGCCGCAACACCCGCATGGCAGTCATCTGCGTCGGCGACGTCCTTGGGGATGGACCAGAGCAGGTCCCCCTCACAGAGCAGCAGTGCCAAGCCATGGCGTTCCTGCTGCAACGAGTCGTGCACGGACCGCCTAGGACAGTGTCCATCCATGCGCGCAGGAAGGTGCACCTGTATATCGACGGGGCCTGCGAGTGGGAGACCCCGCGACTGGTGCCCAAGTGTGGCCTCGGAGCAGTGCTCATTGGAGAAGGCATCGCCTTCACCTGGGGGCTGCAGATCAGCAGCCAGGTTGCAGCCCAGTGGGTTGCCAGGGCACAGAAACAGCAGTTGGTCTATGAGTGCGAGCTGTTGCCCTATTTGCTTAGCCTTCAGCTGTGGGCAAAGCATATAGCAGGCAGTGACCTGTTCGTCTGGATAGACAACGACGCAGCGCGTACTTCTTTACACAAGGCCTTCACACGGAAGGTAGAAGGCGCAGCGATAGTCTCGCAAGCGGTGGATTTTGAAGAGTCTCTGCAGTGCAGGGCTGCTTTCTTCCGAGTTCCGACAGACAGCAACATCGCTGATGGCCCCAGCAGAGACTGGTGGGAAGAGACTCAGAGGCTAGGCGCAGCGCGCCAATACCTGCCGCCCAACGCAGTGGCGTTGGCTTTGTCACTCGGCGCGGACTGAATGGGGGGTGAGTAAGGCTTCGAGTGCCTTCAAGGGGGGTGAACCAGTCGTTCGCCTTACCATCGACCAGCGGTCGAGTTTTGTCAAGATGCCAGTGGCATCGTTTCGTCAGTGCCCGAAGATCGGGCCCGAACTGACCCCCCATGTCCGCTAGGAGAAAAAAGAGAGAGTGCTTTGCACAGGGTTCCTCTGCAGCGCAGTTAGGGTTTCCCAAACGCGCGCTAACGGAAGTTTCGTTGGAAAATAAGCATCCATCATGCGTGCGTGAATGGGTTTTATTTTCCGCCGAAAGTGTAGACAAAGTTTGTCGAAAAAGGAAAACAGTGTTTTCACTTGTGTGTGAGTGACACTAGACAAGCTTTGCCGTGCAGCTTTCGGCTTGAAGTTGGATCTGTGATCCAAAAAGTTTTGTCCCACCCACCACACCCTCTATAGTATGCGGGGTCTGGGACACCGCATAATCAGCAGAGCTGCCAGGAGCAGCGCTCCTATGTTCTCTCTAGCAGAGAGGCGTCAGCACAAAGTGCGCTCTTGTACATAGGCCGTAGGCCGTCTGCTTACAGAGTAGCAACTGGTAGCTGCAGTGACCCAGTCGGTCAGAGAATGTTTCACCTTCTTGTCCCGTTGTACGGGTTACTCCCTTGTCGGGGGGGGTGAACCAGTCGTTCGCCTTACCATCGACCAGCGGTCGAGTTTTTCCGTCAAGATGCCAGTGGCATCGTTTCTTCAGTGCCCGAAGATCGGGCCCGAACTGACCCCCCATGTCCGCTAGGAGAAAAAAGAGAGAGTGCTTTGCACAGGGTTCCTCTGCAGCGCAGTTAGGGTTTCCCAAACGCGCGCTAACGGAAGTTTCGTTGGAAAATAAAGCTTTTTGCGGGAGGATGCAGCACACGAACTGCGTTTCAAGGCAATCCACATCCAGCAATGATGACAATGCACTCGAAAACGACCAAATGTTGTATTCGGAGTTCTTGTACATCTCTGCACCATCAAAGTGAATCAGCAACGGTATCATCTCGCTTAGATCGCAGCCGGCCAATGCCGGATGATCCTTCACTTCTTCCGGCACATATCGTTGCAAATGCCGCCAAAATTGCTTGATCGCAGCCGGCGAGTGTCGCCCCAGCATACTCAAACCAAACTGGCAGGGAACAAGGAGACATTTATACAGCATGACATACCAGTGAAAACGCGCACACACACACACACTTACTTATACTCACGTGCACACATACGTGGAAGCACATGTAACCAACAGCATGCTCTTGCTGCTTGTCTTTCTCGTCCTCGCTCTCTTGCCCTTTCTTTCGGAAAACACACCACGTCTGTCTTTATTTGGCCCCCACTGAAACCTGATGGTCGCTTGAAGAGTGAATCGCAGAGAAGACCTCGTGTGGTAGGAGCACAGGTATCCGCGTGGATGCCGTCCCCTTCAAAGGGTTATCTTCCTGTTCACCAATGTCATCAATATCGGCATCGTCTTTTTCAAGCATGACATCTATGAAGTATGGTTCCAAAGTCACCCCGTACAAGCCTCGAAGCCACCTATGTAGGTCTCGCTCAGCATTCGACTCATGGGCACCGAAGGAGCCCAAACTTGCAAAAGCAGTCACGGCTTCTTGGGGTATTCCATCACGAACCATTGCAACTGCCAAACTTTGCGCATGAGCCACATGGCTCTTCCCACTACCAATCATTTCCAGAAGCTCTTCTGCTGCGTGAGAATGTGGCATCGCAGCATAGTCTTCTCTCCGACGAAAAGATTTGGGCCTGCGAAACGACACGACAGCAACATTGTAGCTGTACAAGCTATAAGCACACGACGATCACAACGACCAAACCTCGGCTTGGATAGGTCATCACCAGCCACGCCTGCAATCAACAAAGCAGAAACAGCATCAGGATCCCTAAGCAAAGCCGACTGCCGCACATGCAAAGAGCCAGCACCACAGTCTTTCCACAGAGCCCTATGCACTTCTGCAAAACCATCTGCACATCTTGGCAAAATGAGTTTCCCAAGGCATTCGGTGACACGCATGGCACACTTCTCTCAGAATCATTCTCCCAAACTTCGGTACTTTACACAGCATGTGTGTGTATGCTGGGTTAAACAAAACACACACACAAATCCTCAAGTGTGCACGCATGTCCCTGTGAGGGGTCGCCGTGTGGCAAGCTCTATCCCACGACAGAATGCTCTCGTCCCGACTCGTCACACATTGTGCAGCGCATCTTCAAGCCGCATCAGTCCGCTTTTGCGGAACTCTTGGCGGCCGCCTTCTTTGCTGCAGCCTTTTTTTTGGATTTCAATCCAGACTGCAGGCCGTTTGCTGCTGCCTGCGTGTAAGCAACGAATCCAAGCACATGCCCAATGTATCTACATGCTAGTTTGCATCCAACATCATATCATTGTGCCTGGGCTTGCTTGAACCATGGCTTCTTCTGATCCACCCACTTGATAACTTTCCTCAAGGCTTTTGTGTTTCCGTCTTTGTCCAGCTGACACATCTTCTTGTAGGCAGACTCCATCTGCTTCGAAAATTTGAGCAGCTGCTCCGATAGCTGGCCGCCGTAGTTCAGCTTGGTCAGGGTGATGGAGGTTTTGCGAGCCTCCGTGGAATCCTTCAGGATCTCGGTTTCCTTTTCCGCCACCTGCCTTGGAACAATTGACTATCAACCACGGATACCACATGCAGCCTTTATAAAGATTGAATTCTTCAATGCAATCAAGAAGCTCTTTCAGGGTCTTGGGCTTCATCTCCTCGGGTTCTTCCTTATTGTCCTTCCTCGGTTTTGGGATGCGCTTCTGCATCCCTCCCGCCTCGTCGAAGAGGCCCAGGAGGGCCTTTCACCAGCCTCGGAGGCTGCATGCACAGCAGGCATACTGCCTGCCTGAAGCACATTGCCCTCTTCGAGAACCTTTGCCAAATCTTCATCCATCGCTTGATCCACCCGGAGGGTCTGAGACTCGCTTGTGCTGTTGTCAAGCCGCAGCAGGTGGCCCTTCGGCATATAATACCAAGCTTCCTCAGAAAGCCAATTCACATGCAGCAAAAACCCTTCAGCCCATATGCCACACTGACCGCAACCTAGACACATCCTCTTTGTCCGGAAAGTCTTTGTCTTTGTACCAGCGTCCTTCGGCTTTTCTTGCGGCAATTACTTGCTTGTACATGGCCTGGCAAACACACACGATATGTAAAGAAGCATGCACACAGACCGACGGTGCCTCGTCGGCGTACTTAGACTTCAAGTCTTTCCCCTGGATGGCAACAACATCCTGCCGGTTGAGATTCTTCCTTTCATGTTTTCGTTCCATGATAAGCTTCACCCTGGGCGGCAACGTGCCGTGCATCACAAATCACGTCTGGAGTCGGACAACAGCAAGAAGGCAAAAGGTGCAAATGCACAAACGCGCCATAGCTTCAGCCAAGTAGCTCATCCCAATTGCCGTTGCAATCGAGCCAGGCACCAAACAAATCCGTCTTAGATTTGCTTGCGTAGGAACTAAGGCTGACGGGGAACTTCTGGCGATTCTTGATCGCCCGATCAAACACGGCCCATTCCTTTTTGTGCGTCGTACCTTAGAAGCACAAAAGACACACTAGACTGTCACTATACACATAACCCCCTATAGTTTCAAGTTGCACAAGACATCAAACGATATTTCATCTGGGGAGCTGTTCCGCACTGCTTCCTCCTCCTTCTGCGTGGCCTCCACCAAGGAAGTTGGGTCGGGGGTCGGTTCGTCATCATCTCCAGACAAGGGCTCCCCGTCGGTATTCTCGGACTCTTCCTCAGATGAGGAACCGCTTGGCATGTCTTCTTCATTCAGGTGGCACTCTTGCGACGGCAGGATTTCCTCCTCGGCTTCGGCTTCACATTCAGCGGCATTCGGAGATGCCTCCGGCTCCCCTGCTCCCTCCGATTCCTCCTGTCCATCATCATCATCATCATCCTGGTCACCGAAATCCGCGGAACCTTCTGAAGCCATTGGGGAGCATGCAGCAAGTTCCTCGGCTGCTATCTGTGCCTCGATGAGCGCCACTTGATCAAAATCATTCTCGGATTCTCCGTCCTAGACACAGAAAGAATGCTTCAAACTCATCATGCACCATAACAAATGCGCCACGCTCTGCGGAAAGGAAACTGCACCCACCTCCTCGGACACGCGGGTTTTCTTGTCTTTGGCTTCCTTCTTGTCTTTGGCTTCCTTCTTGTCTTTGGCTTCCTTCTTGTCTTTGGCTTCCTTCTTGTCTTTGGCTTCTTTCTTGTCTTTGGCTTCCTTCTTGTCTTTGGCTTCTTTCTTGTCTTTGCTTTCCTTCTGGTCTTTGCTTTCCTTCTGGTCTTTGCTTTCCTTCTGGTCTTTGCTTTCCTTCTGGTCTTTGCTTTCCTTCTGGTCTTTGCTTTCCTTCTGGTCTTTGCTTTCCTTTTGGTCTTTGCTTTCCTGCTGGTCTTTCTTTCCCTTGTGGTCTTTGCTTTCCTTCTTCTGTTGCTGTGCTCTCTGGCCTGGGCCCGGTTCAGGTCCCTTCGCCTTCGCTGGCGCGGGGTCTTGCTTGTCCTTCTTGTCTTTTGCATCTCTGCTCTCTCTGCCCTCCTTCTTCTCTTTGATTTCCTTCTCCTGCTGCGTCGTGCCTGCCTTCTTTTCCCTGCTCTCCTTCTTCTCTTTGTCTTTCTTATCCTCTTTTCTTGGCTTCTGGTCTTGGGCTTCTATCTCTCCCTTGCTTTCCTTCTTCGGCTTCTTCTTATTCTCCTGGTCTTTCGGTGGCACAGAAGACGCCGCCGCTGCTGCCTTCAGCAACTTTTCCTGCCGAGCCACTTCTCGATCGGATGGCTCGGCTTGCCTCTTTGCCTTCTCTGAGCTTTTGTGGCTCCCAGAACCAGTAGAAACCCGAGGCTTTTTTGCCGGCTCGCTTGCTGCATCTCTTGATTGCTGGCGCTTCGTAGGAACACGGTGGGTGACGTCTTTTCCCATGGCTGCAGCACTGCAGCACACTTGAAAAAAAGTTCCAAGCCAAATGCTTAAAGACATGAGTGTTGCTTCAACATGCACGGAACGAATGTATTCCTGCTGCAGGCCCTCTCCCACAATCTCACTGCATCTCACTCGCACCTTTGCAAACGATGGACAGACAGACAGGCAGACCGAAACAGACAGCAGCGCTGGGCGGGACGGCTGGGCGGGACGGCTGGGCGGGACGGCTGGGCGGGACGGCTGGGCTGGGCATGGGCTGTGATGGTACATATAGAGACAGAGAGACAGACATGCATGCGTATACGTGATATAGAAACAGCACGCACATGGCATATGTATATAATGCATGGATAATATGCACAGACCGTGATACTCTACTTTTATACATGCTATAGCTTCCATGTGTGCATATTACACATGTTATTAGGCTTGCTTCCAGTGCATGCAGGCAAATCAGGCAGCCCCAATTGAATTATACCTACTGTATTTTGCTTTAGTTTTCTAGTATCAGTACATCTACAATTATGTATTATCACAACTGTATTTTTGTTACATATATCTGTATGTGTATATAGATATAGACTCATACACTTCCTATACTACATATAAGTATAATACAGCAATATATATATATATATATATATATATATATACATTATATACATATAATATTCAATAATAATTAACTATGTATATATGCTTATAACTGCTACAAATCACGGCAGCACGATTCACGGCATCGGCTGCTACAAATCACGGCAGCGGTTGCTCTACAAATCACGGCAGCGGTTGCTACAAATCACGGCTCTACAAATCACGGCAGCGGTTGCTAGAAATCACGGCAGCGGTTGCTACAAATCACGGCAGCGGTTGCTACAAATCACGGCAGCAGTTGCTACAAATCACGGCAGCGGTTGCTACAATCGCGGCTGGTTGATAAAATTTTGTCAGCGGCTGCTACAAATCACGGCAGCGGCTGCTACAAATCACGCTCCTAGGAGCTATAATGTTGGCCGAAATCGCGGTTCATGGTTCGAGTTGTGGCCGTTCGGGGTTGCTTCGGTGTGGTTTCAGGGTGGCAAATACAAATCACGGCATTCCACGCCAAATCACGCTAGCGGTCACGACAAATCACGGCATTGACTTTGCCGGTGTTGCAAGCATTTTTGTTGGCTGTGTTTCGTTTCCGTTTCGTTTTTTTCCGTTCCCATCCCTCTGTGTAGCTCTCCTGTTCCGTCTCTGTCGATCTGCGCTCTCCCGTGTCCTTTCTCCTGGGTCCCCTGCCCGTTTCCTCTCTCCTCTCTCTTCTCTCCTCCCCCCCCTTTGCCTCTCATGCTGTCCCCTCCCAGCATTCCCTTTACTCTCATGTATAACCATTCCATGCATGCGCAGAAGAGCATACTGAGACTGTCTGTGTGACATACATGGCACCCAATGCACCCAGCACGCTGCCTTGATCTGCAGCTTTGCATTCAGCCAATCGCAGACGGCCTTGATTCAATGTAAACCGCGGCATAGTCCTGCGTAGCAAGGCACCATGTTCTATTATCTATACGATACCCACAGCTATATACAGGCACATCACCAGGCATGCATGCAGAAACCTTTCAGTGCAACATTTTCCGGTTGGCGCACCCCGACCATACTGCTTGCATGGAACTGCACACAGAGCTCGCGCTGCATGCTGCGTAGCAATTAAGGATGTACAAGTATTGCAGTTACTGCTGTTGTCGCAGGAATGCAAAAACTTTGTCGAAATGGGCACCATGTGCCCATCTCCTGGAAACTTTAGAATCCACAGGCACCTTCAAAGGCCGCTTCATAGCATCACGCAGATCTGCCCAAGCCTGCTCCTTGACGTGTTTGTCGTGCTGGGTCCGCAAGGATGCCAGTGCAATGCCGAACCTTATTGGGAAACATCATTGCAAGGGTTCGGGCGGCGACCCTTCGTGTATGTCATGTCGAAACAGCGTACCTCAGAGCCCCACTGCCTTGGGTACGCTTGCGAGGCCTTCAGGTGCTTACCGCCGTTGACTCGTTTGTTGCCAAACTCGTCCGTGTAGCGCACCGACATCTCCCATCCCCTCTTCTGCTCATCTGTCGGCAACTCATCCACAGGTGGCTTGAACTTCGCAAGATTTCCCAGTATCTGTCGATCTCAGAGGCAACAAATATGCACCACCGACTGACATTCCATGCACCAATCACCAATCTGAGTGTATATGTGCGGTCAAGGCACTGGAGTACAACCATGTTGGTTTCTTGGATTTCGCGCCAAAATCCTCCATGTTCACAGATACACGATGGCATTTCACCAGGCCGAAGAGCAACTGCATGGCCGGGTGATGTTCCATCAGCGATCTTTCTGGTTGTTCCAATATCCACCACACTCCCTTAGAGGAGCAGATCAGCAGGAGTGCAACAACCCGCCAAATCATGCGGTTTGCAGCTCTCACAGAGCTGACAGATTCGTCTCCAATCACATCACCCGGACGTCGTTGGGTTTTCGATTGGGACCTCAAATCATAAGAGAACCACAGCAGAGGTCAATATGCAAGCACACAGACAACGCACATCATATGTGTGTTCCACATCAGCAACTCAGTGTCTTACATGAATATCCATGATGAGCAAACTGGTGCGGTCAGCATTCCACTGCCCGGCACCAGCCTCAAGCACTCAAACACTGCAATGCAGAAGCCGAGGGAGCTGAGAATGTCCATCGTGCGTTCGTTGTAGCTCACATCGTGTGCAACCGCACGCCGCCCAGCCTGGGAGCAACTTGCAGGGAAGGGGCTTTTGGGAGGGTTGCCGGGGCAAGAATGCAAGCATTGAACTATTCTGCAAACAGGCGGCTCGAATCTCAGCTAGGGTAACAGCTTTGCGCCCAGCAAATGTCTCGAAGTGCTGCAAGGAAGTTTCCCAAGGCAGGTTCTCGATCCGTGTGACCATAGCCACCAGTTTGAAGATAACCTTGACACTCATAAAAGTTTGTGGCATCGCGGGAAGGGTATCACATGCTCATGATGCAACCAATATATGCCAGCCAAAGCTCCAGTGGCACACCGATCTGTGCCAAACCATACAGCACATACATTTGCTGCAAAAGTCGCCCGGTCTTCTGCGGGGGTCGCTGCACACGCAGCTTTCTTTTGTCTTTGCGACGACGCTGCTTCATTGCATGCTGCGACAACTTAGCACAGACTGCACATGTCATGGAACATGGTTTTCTTATATCTAGACGAAACATGTTAGCATACTTGTATATCATGTTTGTATGGGCTGGATGTGTGGCAGCATCTGTTCGGCATCCACATACCATTGCAATAGACACTATGAGCCTGCACACAAGTTCGATGACTCTCATGCAAGCAGACAGACACACTCGCAAACATAGTCGATGACTCTCATGCAAGCAGACAGACACACTCGCAAACACAGTTGCGTGCTAGCCCTGAACCCCTGCGTCGGTCCTTCCACATCATGATCGGCCCACATCGGAATATATCATCATGGGGGATGCCTGCGTGCGGGCAATGCTCATGTGCTGGGTGCAGGCAATGCTCATGTGCTGTTGCCCGTGATCACGACATACAGCAACTGATGGGACTTTATTTTTCAGCGTGGCTTCGCTCTGCTGAAAGTCAGCCACCCCTCGTGTTTCAAGCCACGCTCCGTTCGGCAGCATTGCCGAGGGCAAAATCAAAAGAACTGTGTGCAAAATTTGCGGCTCGCTGCATCTCCAACACAGCTTATAAAGCCCGAGTGCTCGCATTGCCGGATGGCATGATCTCTCTTTGCATTGCTGCTTGTTTCTATGGTACCATGAGTAGGAGGTGTGTATCGTGTGGATAGTAGTACAGTATTACAAGTTCAGTATAGCACAGCATTAGGGAACAGTACAGTATACATACAAATCTCTCCTTGCATTAGTACTATATTCTATGGTACGTACTATTAGTAGATAGTATAGTACAGTATTTCAGGTTCATTAGTATATAAAACAGTATATGCATACAATTAAGTCTCTCTTTGTATTAGGACTATATATTCCATGGCACCAATAGCAGGTGTTCTTGTAGATAGATAGTATAGTATTACAAGTTAAATATAGCGCTACAGTATATAGTATACAGTGTACATACAGGAATGTTTTTGTATTTAGTATAGTATATAAGAGTAAAAGTATAGGAGTATGAGCGTATGTCGTACTCCTAGCATACCGGCAACTGTCATCACTGATCACTCCATCCGACCCTTTTCTTCACTTCGGACCACGCGGCTTCGACACCGTGGAAAGTAGCCCACCCGACCTGTCCTCGGGGGCCCGGAGCACCCGTCGCAAGCCGCTTGCTGTAGAAAGCGCGGTTCCTCAGCAACACCTCCACGGCACACTCGTTTCCCGGCGAGGCCACCGTATACGAGTGTGCTCCTTTGTTTGCCTTGTCCCCCTGGGGCAGCGCGTCCTTCGGGATGCCAAGCGCCGTGAGGTCGTAGGAGCCGTGGCGACACGGCTCGGTTGCCGCCTCCTCCATCTCCTTGGCCTTCTTCGCGATCTTGGCCACCTTATTCCTCTTGCGCCTGCCGCCTTTGCGGTTGAAGCCGGCCTTCTTGACCTTCTTCGGCAAAGCCCTGCTCTTGGCCTGGCCTTTCTTTCTCGTCGGCTTCTTCTGCACCCCAACAGCCGTCAGGTCCTGGCACGCATACACACTTAAGGCTGCCCGATCCGGGCTTATACACGCGATAGCAAAGCCTCATCATCGCGGCCGTCGGCTCCGAGCATGGAGTCCAACTCCAAGTCCTCTTTCGCATCGCTGTGTTTGGGGACTTTAGGTTTGAATGCACAGAAGTTGCATTGCCAATAACGACCCCCCGAGGCAACTGCTTCATCTCCCAGGGGTGAGCTTCCATCCTTCAAAAGGCTGTCTTGCTATTCTGCTAACTTGCTTAAATGGATCAGAAACTATCGGCCTCTTCGGCACTGGCTGCATAACCGGACG